CATGCACAGAATACTTCTGGTACCTCAAGCTCCCTTTCTGCTCTTTTTTCCCTTGCTTCCTAAACCTTTTCATTTCATGATCATGAGTAACTATGCTCTGAATCTTCTCTCACTTGTGAAACACTGGAAACACCAATGCAAAGGCCTTGGGGCCCTGCATCATTGCCCCTTTGTGTTCTCTGCACTGACCTCTAGGTGGTCCATTGTGCAGAAGGCAGTAGAGCTTCCAGGTTCACTGATGATGAAGCAGCAGAGGCCCAGAGTAATGGCGACTTGAATGGATCCATATCCTGATAGAATGGGTCTGATCTCCTTCTTAGGTAATTGTGCTTTTTGTTAAGTTCTTTAATCTGAAAGTATTTCCTGTGTTTAAACAATTCACCTTGGCTCTGCTGTCTGTTAAGCATTTGACCTTCAGTAAGTCAATTCACCTTTTCATGCCTTGCTTTTTCCCCATCTGTAAGATGGATTGATAACTATTTCATAAGGCTGTTTGAGGATAAATGAGTTAATCATATAAAACACACAGTACCTATTGTACCTGGCCTATATAGTAGGCACTAAAATTATCTGCTATGATGATGATGATGAAGATCATGATGAAAATGGTAAAATCTCATTTTATGGATACACTCCTCCAAATTCATGAAGTTCAATTCTACGAAGAAAATTCTAATTTTCTATTAACTTTCATTTTATAATTGCTCTTGTGTTCCTGTGGGTAAGATTTTTCTTGTGAGAACATGAAGCCACCAAGAACTCAGTTGTATTATTGAAAGAGGGCTGTGATTGCCACCACTGGTAAACACAGCCCTTCTCCATCCACTGACTTTTCCTTCACAGCGTTCCCCTCCTCATTTGTGGACTTTGCCACCTTGCAGGCTATTTTTTCTTTTCTTGTACTAGAGGCACTTTGCTTTGAAACCCTCTCTTCATCATTGACATATCTCTGGGCCTGGTAGTCACAACATAGTAGGCTCTGGCTTGCCCGTCTACTTCTCTGCATATTACAGATGCAAAATTACTGTTCTTCAAAACTTTGGCTACTCTAAATGTTCAAGAGTATGGGGCCAAATTTTATGTCACCTGCCTACAGTGAAAGATAATGGTTGCTGTTAATATCAGTGCCTGTTTGGAACAATTTCTACATTGATCATTAAAAGTACCCTGTAACCATCTTCTTTCTGTAAAGCATATGTTTTTGTTTCATTTTCCAGTTCATCCTTGTAGACTATTGTTAGTTTTCAACTTCCAGTAGGGTTTAAGTTAACTGTACGTTAAGAAATGGATTAGATACTATCAGAAGTGGAGGAAACATAACGTATATTATGTTATTTTTCAATACTTTAGTGACCCTAGGAGTGTAAGTAATGTGATTTATTGCATAGCACACATACTAGAGATATTTTCAAAATAATTTAAAAGTTACTCGTATTATAGATACTTGAGCAATATAAAGGTAGATTAAATGTCACGATCCTGAAAAACACAGTGAACTTTTCCAAGTGATTAATTGGGTGAACCAAGGCATATATGTGAACATCTTTTCATGTTTGATCAGTTTTATTCATGATGGCAATAAAACCAAGTAAATGAAATGCAAAATGTTGACTGCAATGTAATGGTTGAAATTTTTATATGCATAAAGGAGTCAGGGTAAATTTATGGTCTTTCAATGGCTTGTTGGCTGCTAATATTGTATGTACTTTTTTAAAGTGATCTATAGCACCACTGCCAAAATGCCATGGGGACACAATCACAGTTGGTACACACTGTGTGTGTTGATTTACCTCTCGGATATGTGAAATGTTAACTCTGAGACTGCTGTCATATAGCTCATCGGTTTTTGTTCAGCGTTGGATGTATGCTCATCATTTGCCTTCAGAGTGTATACAGTGGCAGTGTCAATATAGCATAGAGAGTTAAAATTGCAAAGAGTCTTATATTCTGGCACCATGTAGTTCACTGAAAGTTTTTCAGATTGAATTTGAATATATGATTCCCAAATGTATCAAAGTACTATTTTACTTACATTTCAAAACTTCTGTACTCTTGAATCAAAATCAGAGATTAATGTCTTAGTTTCACCTCCTGTGCCTTGTTTTCCAGAAGGTCTTAGATCCCTCAGGTGTGTGTGAGGGAGGACTGCTGTGTGACTTAACAACCCATCTCGCTGCCACTTGTCTGCTCTTCCCTTTGCCGCTGATCAGATCCTATCCCCTGCTGTTTCCTGAGTTCCGTAGTTTGCATCAGTCTTCAGTGTCCTTCTTTCTGTTCCTTCCTCTAGGCAGAAAGAGGGAAGTGTATTTTAACTTATACTGCAGTTGTTGGGGATAATTGTTTACTTCAGTCTTAGGTGATAAAATCTGCTTTTACAGAGTGTGGAGAAAAAAACAGACAACTTGATCGATGTCTGGTTTAAGTAATTGACTATACAAAAATACAAACTCTTTAGAATACATCACCTTTTATAAACATGGTTAAAATAAGCAGGTTTCATCTACAGAGCTGTAATATATCAAAAACCAACTCAATGGAAGTTAATGGAAATTAATTAGATGGAACTCTTTTTGCAAGAAGGTCATTTTTGTAAGGAAACATGTAATATTCTATAGATTTCAGCCAAAGCCCTGGGTAGATTTGGTGAAATTTGTTACTTCTAAGTGTGGCCATGCCAAAAAAGATACAATTCCCAAAGGGGAAGTCTGGGCAGTTC